TTTAGTGCGCGTTTCCGCTGGACAAAGAAACTTTCTATCTATTTATTTATTACTTCCAAAACATGCTCCTAGGCCCCCCCAAGTGACATCTGGCTCTCTTAAAAAATCCTTCTAAGTATTAAATTTCTTAATTCTTCAAAACAACCATTTCTTGGAAAAGTGAAACTTAAGATTTTCCCCTATTACAACATTGACGATTTATGAAATTTTCAGGATTTTCGTACCAAACTTTTTATAAATGATGATTTTCAATATTCGACTTTCAATATATATACGAAATTGAATGTTTGTACAATATCTCGAAAACAAAACTAATTGAGCAAAATGTTGGTTACTTTGGAATCATACAATTCAAATTCAAATATTTTGTAAGGGTTATTCAAAAAGCTAAACTCATGTTAACTGGGGTAATGTAGGTATATGCATTAGGTAAATGTTTGGTTATTGCAACCATCAAAATTAATTACATTAAATTAAATTTGATTGGAAATAATATGAAATTTATTGGTGCTTGGGTCGTACGTTGCATGTTCATAAATCGAATACAATATTTGCATAATATCCACACTTGAGCTATCGATTGCTCGAAAGCTGTGCCAACGTATCGCAAAACAGGCCCCATTATTCACCCATTAGCTCGCATTAACCATTGATTTAATTAATATATGGTAATTAATTGATACGTGCTACTTTTCAGTTGTTTTTAATTTCTTTGCTTTTATGTGCCATTCTTTGTGACCCCCCAGTACCACTTAAGGTAACGATAAATTATATAAAGGTTATATAAGATTTGTCAAATTATATAAGAGTTTAATAAGGTTTTATAAAATCGCCATTTAATTTACTAGTTTTATAATGGTCATATAAGGTTACTGTAAACTCTAGGTATATAATTAGGTTATATAATTGTTTCTACAAAATATGTTATATAACCTGACCGTTACTAGTAGGTTTATAAAGGAGTTTTATTTAGTTTGCAGTTACCTGTTGTATAAAACTATTGTGTCTTTAACTTTTTTTAAATAAAAATTGTTGTTGTTAATTATTTATGTGCTTAATAAACTAAAAATGTTTAGTAATTGAAATTTCGACCCAATGCTTTTTCATAATTTTAAATAAAAATTATTTGAAAAGAAAATATTAAGTAATATAATATTAGTAACATAAATATTTAAAAAGTAGATTAAATCGAATGTTTAGTGAAATAAATTGATTCCATTGCGTTAAAACCATTATTACTGCAGGCAAAGAGTGTAAAAATTATATAATTACACTTTAACTTAGATAGTCCTATAAAACTAAACTAGTACCTTAGGTTATATAAAATTACCATGAGCAATATAAGAGGGCTCAAGGTTGATAAATTCTTTCCGCCATGATTGTTCTTTACATAAAATAAATGTTAATCGAATTGTATTACAAAAAAAACTTAATTGACCAAACCAAGGTAAAAAATTCACTACTTTAATAAAAGCAAAAGAAAGATAGTAATGTATTTAAAAAAAAGTATTTTCATATATTTTTATAATAGTATAAAGTATTTATGTTTTGTTATTTTGATAGCCCTTACTGTTTTTTGAAGTATTGTGTACCTATTTACAATAAAAATTACTTTGCACTTTAAGTCGTAGGTATTGAGTAACAAATCTTAGATTTAATATATTGGTATCGGTATATATACCACTAATATTTTCGCCATACTTGGCTTCTCAAAATATTCACGTGGTTTAAACAAGATGACAATAAGAAAGATGAGGGAGCAGTTCTTTAGGAAGTTATATAGTGGTTTTCATACTATTCTAGTTATAAAACTTGGGTTTTATAGTGTTACTAAAATAGGTACCGATAACCTTCATAACTCCCCAAATAAGCTCTTTAAGGAGATCCTAGAAGCACAAATCAATCAATTTCAGAAGTCAAGAGTAACAAAACTAATTATAACAATTATAAGATAAAAATAAATTTTTCTTTTAAACATTTAATTATAGTTTTGGAGCATAGTGCATCCCGTGCGATTTTTTGTGAAGGGAAGATGAAACTATCTGAAATCAGTTTTTTATACACAAGGCAGTAGTGTATTATCGGGTGTTTTGTTTAAAAATGTGTCAATTTTTTATGATGTCATTAATCCGATACCTTACTTTTATTTCAGGTATGCGTTTATAAAATGTATAATCTCGTAATTAGTGGTCCTATTAAAAAAAATTATATAATCTCTTAAAATAATCACAAAAAAGGAAAAAAATTATTTATTTTTTTTTTAAATCTCAAATGGTTAAGAAAATATTGGCTTTTAAAACTGACATATTGTTATTTTGAATAGAATGCAAGAAATTTGAACTTTTATGAGCTATTTTTAGTAGAGGATCCCAAGTAAGGTCGACCTTCACCCATCTGCTTACCAGATGAAAATTATATTTTATCAAATAAAATATGTTTCTGAACATAAACCAATAGGGTTGCCATAAAAAATATGATCAAGGCTTGCTATACCTAATAAATAAAAAATTAAAAAAAAATAATTAATTTTTTAAATTTCACCGACTTGCTTGCCAAATGAACGAAATTCCAATGGAAAGCATACAACATACAGAATATGTAACAGCTAGGTTACCTACCTTTTTCTGGTCCCTATTACCTGGTTGCTTTGTACAGGGTGATCCCCTATAATGTCGCCCCCTTTAACTTTTTTATTTTAAGTGTCCCAAAAAATTTAAAAGTTTGGTTATGTAGGTACTAAAAAATACTTTTTTTCTACGTATAGAGAAAATTGGAAAATTGATCAGTATACAGGGAAAAACAAAAAGTTTATTGTTTTTCAATGGATCACCGTATATATGAATTTATTTTTCGATTCCTTGTAAAATTCTGAGCATAATTTATATAACAAACCATATACCTAAATTCAACCGTTTCTGAAATATTCGCATTCGAAATGTCATCATTAAATGTTTTTTTAAACTGTTAGAAATCAAGAAGCCTCAGTATACCAAAATTTTTATTGAAAATAAATTACTATAGTGACATTATGTCAATAAGTGTTGTTAAATAAGTAAAAATGGCGTACTCAGACAGAGAAAAACAAACTATTTCAACTTATTATCTTAAAAATAATTTAAATATTTCAGAAACGGTTGAATTTAGGTATATGGTATGGATATATGAAATATGCTTAGAATTTTACAAGGAATCGAAAAATAAATTCATAAATAGGGTGATCCATTGAAAAAAATAAACTTTTTGTTTTCCCTGTATACTTATCAATTTTCCAATTTTCTTTATACGTAGAAAAAAAGTATTTTTTAGTTCCTACATAACCACACTTTTAAATTTTTTGGGACACTTAAAATAAAAAAGTTAAAGGGGGGCGACATTATAGGGGATCACCCTGTACAAAGCAACCAGGTAATAGGGACCAGAAAAAGGTAGGCAACCTAGCTGTTACATATTCTGTATGTTGTATGCTTTCCATTGGAATTTCGTTCATTTGGCAAGCAAGTCGGTGAAATTTAAAAAATTAATTATTTTTTTTTTAATTTTTTATTTATTATAGCTAGCCTTGATCATATTTTTTATGGCAACCCTATTGGTTTATGTTCAGAAACATATTTTATTTGATAAAATATAATTTTCATCTGGTAAGCAGATGGGTGAAGGTCGACCTTACTTGGGATCTTAGACTATTTTGATTCGATTAAAACGATGTTTTTACCGTTGGATGCAAAATTTAACCACCTTTCAAACCATATATCGGATCTGCCATACCCCCTCTATGCTGATTTAAGTAAAATCTTATTAAAAAACAAAAATATACCGTCATATAGGTGAATGGCCCAAATAAGAAAAAAAATGATTAAGTTTTTTGTGTTTATCGCACCAAAATCACCCTAAAAATTTAAAATAAAGTTTATATTTTTCCTTGTAAAACAGTGTAATGAATTATAATTAACAGGAAATACTAATTAAATAGGTAATAGTAAATATTTTAAAAGAAAACTGTTAAAATTAAGTATTTACAAATTAAAAATTCTTTTAAAAACAATAAAATACTATATAAAATAAAATTTAAACACAAAAACTTTCCTTAAATTAAGAAAAACAGCAAAAAAGTATTAAAATCGTAAAATACTTTTGACAGTTCTATGTAAACATAAATTAATAAAGTCAAGGCAAGGCACACTTAATTTATAAGCAACCAATGAAATTACTTAAATTTGCTAAAACAGTTTTATTTAAAAAAGTCACTGTTGCTAGAGGCTAAAAAAATTGATGGGCCATCAAATTTGACGGCTCATAAAATTATACAATTGTTTCGATACACGGTCATGTGACAATTAAAAAATGTCAAATGTAATTTATTTCAAAGGGCACAATAAAATGAATTATAAATGTCGAAAATGGTGGACATTTTGGATTAGAAATTCCATAAACACCACCAGAAATATTTTCAAGGTAAACACCCGGTACCACACAACTCAAAAAGGTATAAAAAAGCTATCCCATATAGTTCCATCATCCCTTTATAACAAATACCACGGAGAATATTTTTTTGCTAAAATAAAAGAATCTTTCGAACAAATAATATATTGTTAAAATTATTTAATTTACCAGCTATAGCTATTGACAGATTAATTAAGTTTTTGCTAGCGTAGCTAGTAGATAAAGCTGAAACTTTTTAAATTAAGAAACACTACAAAAGCAAACAAGATGAATTGCATTTTATTTTTATTTCCAACTAAATAAAACTTTGTTTTATAAGTAAACCATTAATTATACCTTCTCTATACGCTTACAAAGCCAATTTTATGAAAATTTAACCTTTTGGATCACAAATTATTTACACAATATCAATATTGTTATTTATTTACTTTGATATAGATATACCCCATTTCGCATCATAAATATATAATACAATAACTATTGATTCGTACATCCATTAAATCCCTTTGGTGTACAAACATTAATAATGCATTATGTCGCTTCAAATAAAGCAAAAATTTACTTACAAAATTTTATTTATACAAATAGGCTCTCCAGGGAAAGTCACGTAATTTACATCAATATTTTTAGATTTCACTCTTTCCAGAAAGACTTTATTGCAAGTTTTGTCTTGTTTTTTGAAAACTATCGTTTTCAGTTTTGGTAGAGTTTTTTTGAGATCTTCTATGTCGTATTTAGTTATAACTTCTGTGTTTAGTCCAAGGGTTTCCAAATTTTTGAGTTTGCTGAATGCTTCCATGGTTATATTTAGGTCGATATTATTGAATATTGTTAGGGTTTTTAGGTTTCCTAATGGTTCGAATGTTTTTGGTTCAATTTCCTTTATATCGTTGTAGTTAAGTTCCAGAAGTTGCAAATTCACCAGATCACTAAAGCTGTGTTCACCAATATCTTCCACTTTACTGTTATTTAATATCAAAATATCCAGCTCACTTAAGCCTTTGAAAACTGTATCCACCTTGGGAATATTCTCATTATAAATCACAATACTTTTTAACTTTTTGCTGCTTTGGAAAACATCCTTATCCAGGTTGACATTGTTATTCCTCAGCACTATTTTGGTTAAATTTCGGCAACACTCCCCCAAAACATCTTTAGTTAAGTCGGTGAAACTTGACTCCTGAATATGCAGAACATCCAAATCAGGAAACGCACTTAGTGTGCTATTCTTAAAACTCCCGGAATAGTTCATCAAATCCAAAAACTTCATACGCGAAAAAGGTTGAATGTTCTTCAGCGCCTCCAAATTTTTGGACACCACATTTTTGCAACTCGTAAACAGGGTTCTATTTGATGGAGATGTATATTGAAACCCAAGCAGGCACTTTCCATGAACCACGGTCATCAAAAGACACATTAGAAGAAGTTGCTTCATTTTTAATTATTTCTAGAATGAGAAGCGCAAGACTATTGCTACTGAATACATTCTTGACATGGGAGCAATATGTTATCAATGTTGGGAAATAATATAAATCATATTAAAATTCAACAACATAAATATTTACATTAATTGATGCACATGCACGTTTAATTGATCATGATTTAATTAGTAAGACAAAATATGCATACAATTGCCATGGATTTTAAATTAAAAACAAATAATTAATTGATTGATAATGGTTTATCAATTAAAAAAACATTGCAAACACTGCATTTTTGAATATAAACATTTGTATAAAATTGTCCTTTAAACGTATAAGCATTAATTAACACAATGCACCCGCATACGTAATTATATTGGGAAATAATGCTTAAAACAGCACTGATAATCGCAAATCGGGCACATTTATTTTACTACCGTCGTTCTATGAGCAAAGTCACGTACTGTCGCTTATCACCTAGCTTTAATAGTGCCATTTCACGAATAACTACTCATTGGGAATTAGAAGAAAGGCTGTAGTTAAATTCATTGAACTAAAGAAAAAATACATACGAAATATGCATTGCATATGGCTGAATCGATGGGTTTTTATCATACAAATAAGACTAGGCTCAGCTGAAAAATTATTCTAGACTTTGATGTTAAAATTATCAAATTCACGATGATTATTTCTGAAGCTACTGATCGGTAGAGAATTTAATTAGGCTCCAATAGAGCACAAAGACCTTCGCCCTATAGCGAATAGCAATTGATTCATCCAACGTGTAAGGTTGTGATACTAACAAGCCTCTGGTAATGTTAGGTATTTAAATTATAGAATCCTGCAGGTTAGGATACTACATGATGGCATTTTAGATAATCAGAGCACAAAGTTTCCTTTCATACTCAGCAGCCTACAACTTGTGTTGTTTGCAAAGGTAATACGCTCTATCTGATATTTTTTATACCAGAAAAACTATAAGCAACACAAATCATTTTGTCTTTTTAAGCTTATTAATATTGCTACAGGCTAAAATGAAATGACTACCTATAAGCTAAAATGACAAAAAGCTAAAAAGACAAAAACCTAAAATATCATTACAAATTATGATAAGGCTTAAAAATTAAAGTAGCTAAAAAGGTAAAATGAACCTTGCTAAAATGACTTTTAAACTTAAGCTTTAATTAAATATCGACAATATAAAAAATTACAAGCTAAAATTACAAGATATAATAAGCATCTGCTAAAATAACCTTGAATAAACTAAAATGATTATAAGTTTAAATGACGACAAACTAATTTGAATTACTATAGGTAAACTCAACAAACTTAAATGACCTTAATCTCAATGATTAGAAGCTAAAATGGTTATAAGCTTAAATAAATATGAGTTCAAATGAAGACAAGCTTAAATAACGACAGGCTAAAATACAATGAAATATTATACGTTACGCCTAAATAAGGATAGGCTAAACAATTATAAGACTAAATGACCAAAGACTTAAAAAACAACAAGCTTAAATGACAATCTAAAATGGCCATACGCTGAATAATAAATGACTTTAAGGTCAAATGGACCACCTAAAATTACTGCAATCTAAAATAAGAATGAGCTAAAATTACCACAATTTAAAATAAATACAAGCTAAAATTTTTATAACCATAAATAACAATAGACATTAAGCTCAAATAAAGACCAGCTTAAATAAAATGACTAGGTATAGGCTGAAATGATGACAACCTAAAATAGCATACTACAAATTATAATAAGCTAAAATAAGAACATCCTTAAAAATGATTTATGCTAAAAAGCTAAAAGGAGAATGATTCCTCTTTTAAGCTCATAGACATTGCTAAAATGTTGACTACAAACTTAAGCTTTAATTAAGTATCGACAAGATAAAAAATTACAAGCTAAAACTACAAGATATAATAACTATATGCTAAAGTAATCTTAAATAAACAAAAATGACTATAAGTTAAAATAATAAGCTAAAATATTCACAATCTAAAATGAAGAAAAATAACGACAAGCTTAAATGACGACAAGCTTATTTGACTACAAGCTAAAATTACTATTAACTCTACAAACTAAAATGACCTCAATCTCAAATGATTACAAGCTAAACTGTTTATAAGCTTAAATAACAGTAAGCTAAAATAAATATAAGCTCAAATATAGACAAGCTTAAATAACGACAAGCTAAAATGATATGAAATGGTCATAAGCTTAATAATTCTTGTTTTAGGCTTTTAGACATTACTAAAATGACTGCAATGTAAATTTACTACCAACAAAAATATCAACAAGATAAAAAAGTACAAGCTAAAATGATTATAAGCTTAAAGGAACCAACTAAAATTACTGCAATTTAAATAAGAATAAGCTGAAATGACCACAATTTAAAATAAATAAGCTTAACTTTCTATAAGCGTAAATAAAAATATGATAATATCAGTATAAGCTCAAATTAAGACCTGCCTAAGTAACAGGCTAAAATGACAATAAGCTAAAATGACAACCTAAAATTACATACTACACATTATAATAAGCCTAAATAGGGTTAATTTAAAAATTTATAAGCTAAAATGATAGGGCACGGTTGTCAATGTGTTACTAAAATCATTGCATCAAGTGAAAGTGGTAGTGCAACTACAGGGAGAAAGATGGCGTTTACATGAATAATACCATAGAGTCCCTAGATTTGGGACCTTAGAAAACCAAAATGTCAAAAGTCAGAGTTTTATAACCTATATGATGCACCGCCAAGTACGTTTTTAACCATTTTTCAGCTACAAAACCCAGAAATTTTGCCATCTAAAGTCAGTCTGGTATATATATTATTATTTTATGTATCCAACATATATTTTGTTAAATATTCTAATATATAATTAATAATGATATTATCCCGTTCTGCCTGAAAACTTAAACGATATAAAATAACGCAAACAGCAAACAAAATAAACGAAATTATACACGAATTAAAGGAAATATTCAAAAACACAACTGACAGCTTCAAAATTCTAAAACGTCAATTTCTTTTTCTATGCGTCATTTTATTAAGCAAAATTTTAATCTAAACATGGCAACATTGCAATTGCTGCCAACTAAAGTTGTTTAAAATGCATTAAAATATTTAATTACAGACTTCGTTTTATACATTTAGTGTTGGTACCAGTGCGCAAAATTATGACGTCGTTTCCTTTTAAATTTACTATAGATACCCATAGGCTAAAATGACTATAAACTAAAATTATTACAAGCCAAAATAATAATAAGACAAAAATCTAAAATGATTGCAAGCTAAAATTAAAATAAACTAGAATAACAATAGGCTAAAATAAAATAAAATCCCAAATGAAAACACCCTTAAATAACCAAAGGCTGAAATAAAATGACTATAAGCTAAAATGATTATAAGCTCAAATAATGATAAAATTTAAATAAGAACAAACTAAAAATAAGACAATATAAAATAAAAATTCAAAGGCTAAAATAAAATAAGTACAAGTTTAAGTTTTCTAAATAAGTAAAACTATAAATAAACTGCTCGTCATAAAAATCGACGCACCTAGTTTTTTGGAAAATATTTGAAAGCTCGTTATTGAAAAATTACTGAATGGATTTTGAAAATCTTTGGAAATTCTGAATAACTGATTCTTTGACTCTTATGTCTAATTTTGGGAATACGATATTTTGCACATAGCATTATACAACAGGGTGTTAAACGAAGAGATGTATTTTTTCCAAAATTCCAAATCCCCATTCACAGGGCAGTTGAGCTTGATAGTCCTAATACCCCTTCCTAATAACAGTTAGGTAATCCCTCGGGATGTTTTTGAGATTTTGTGGATATCTTGGCTAACTATTATTATATAGCAATTTTTCAAAAATTGTCGTTATTCTCCACTTAATTCCCAAAAATGAGCAAACTTCGAAAGGTATCGATTAGTTATCAACACCAATTTGCATCTTCTTGTGCCCATCTTCTTCTAGCAGAAAAAGAGGGCAGGCAGCTCTTCGTCCTGCGTGGTATGCAATCTTACGTCCGTCATTTTATTTTTTAAATGTGTTTTGCTGTTTGAAAAACGTTTTCATATTCGACGACAAAAATGACAAGAATGATTGAAGGAAGGAAACTCAAAACCAGATATGCGCTATATTTTTTAAACTTTCATAGTCAACCGTTTGTAGAAAATTGCATAAATATAGCCTGCATAAGTTTACGAGGATAATTTTGTTTGGTTTGGATTTTTATTTTGAATTTAAAAAAAATTGGTTTTGTGTAAAACATTTCACTTTTAATGAATCACGCAACGTTCATGAAGTGGAAGCACTTAACCTACCTTAAAACGCTTTGTTGATACCTTCCGTAGTTTTCTCATTTTTGGGATTTAAGTGAAGAATAACGGGAATTTGGAAAAACTGCCGTATAATCGTAGTTATCCAAGATATCTACAAAATCTCGAAAATGTCCCGAGGGATTACCTGTTATTAGGAAGGGGTATTATGACTATCAAGCCCTGTGAATGGTGATTTGGAATTTTGGAAAAAACACCTCTTTTTTTAACACCCTGTAGTATAATGCTATGTGCACAATATCGTAAAATTAGACGTAATTTAAAGAATCCACCATTGCTCATTTTTTGGACAATTGGGGAATAACGACAATTTTCGAAAAATTGGTATATAATCGTAGTTAGCCGAGATATCCACAAAATCTCGAAAACGACCCGAGGAATTACCTAACTGTTATTAGGGAGGGGCATTAGGACTATCAAGCTCAACTCCCCTGTGAATGGGGATTTGGAATTTTGGAAAAAAATATCTCTTTTTTAAACACCCTGTAGTATCATGCTATGTGCGCAATATTGTATTCCCAAAATTAGACGTAAGAGTAAAAAATCAACTATTGCTAATTTTTTTGACTAAAATGAAGAATAACGTGAATTTTCGAAAAATTGCCGTACAATCGTGGTTACCAAGATATCCATAAAATCTCGAAAATGTCCCGAGGGATTACCTAACTGTTATTAGGGAGGAGTATTAAGACAATCAAACTCAACTGCCCTGTGAATGGGGATTTGAAATTTTGGAAAAAAACATCTCTTTTTTCAACACCCTGTAGTATAATGCTATAGCATATATGTGCATAAT